TCTAAATCATATTGTAGAATATCCCAATGCATAACTATGTTTTAAATTTCAAAGCATTTCGTCAAAAATCAAAGGAGATATGGTCATTTAAAGTTTCAGCCAATCAGATTGCAGTGCACGTGCATGCGCGTGATTTCTTGAATTTTTTTGTATATCATATTGCAGGATATCCTAGTGCATGACTATGTTTTAAATTTCAAAGCATTTCGTCAAAAAATAAAGGAGATATAGTCATTTTAAGTTTCAGCCAATCAGATTGCAGCTCACGTGCATGCGCGTGATTTCATAAAACGTTTTCTATATCATATTGTAAGATATCCTAATTAATTACTATGTTTAAAATTTGAAAGCATTTCGTCAAAAAACAACTGAGAAATTACGATTTTTGTTTCAGCCAATCAGAGCAAAGCTCACGTGCATGCCCGTGAGTTCGTGATAATTTTACAATGTCACGATATTGACACTATTAATATATCTTTATGTAATGAGTTTCAAAGCATTTCATCAAAAAATGTAAAAGTTATAGCTATATAAAGTATGTCGGTCATTTCACTCACTTCACGCGCCCGCACGTGCAGGCGTATGCGCGCAAAATGACCTTCGTTCCGCACACCTACACTACACACCTATTAACCCTAAAAAGGTTTTAGCTCAGTTGGGTGAACAGTTTCTGAGAACACTCGCGGACAAAAAAGTCCGGAGAAGAAATAAGAAGAAAAAAGAATAATAACTAGAGCCGAGCTCGTTGCAAAGCAACGAGTAGGTCTTCCGTCCGGTTTTGACCAGAAGTGCCGGAAGTGACGTGAACAAAAGAAAGCAATGAGCTAAGTTGTCTCTAGTGACTTTATAATTTCAATTTTGCATTAAAACCTTCAAAATAAGCTATTTTTGGCTACTTCCAGTTTGACCGGAAGTAACGTCGACGGACGGAAAATTAAGATTTAAGCTTCCAGTAACATATGTTCCCCAAAAACCTGTCAAGAACGGCAAAAATATACAATTTTTGACTACTTCCGGTTTGACCGGAAGTGAAGTCATCGGACGTATTTCGACGACACCATTCGATAAAGCTTGATATTTAGAACAACTTTGCTTCTTTGACGTATTACAAATTCTCAATACTTTTTGAGATATAAAGGAAAAACTTTCGGCCCCTTTTGGCCCTTTATTGTAGGGGCCCGCCCCTTTTCGTTGATATCTTTCAAAAGATCGTGACATTCTTCGCAACTTTTGTTCTATATATCTTTACAAAATATTAACGTGTACAAAGATATTGCAAAAAATGTGTTAAAAAATTCTAAATTCCCAATAGGTCTTTTTTCGAGCCATAGCGAGCGCCGACGTGCGGCACTTCCAAAGAAAAAGAGTGGTGTGTGACAAAAGAGCACACAGTGCTCTATCATCGCTGAAAATCTCATGTTTCTGTCTTAAGGCATTTTCGAGAAAAATGATGGACAATGAGACCCCCTGAAAATCACTAAATCGCTGAAATCTCAAAACCGGAAGTGACGTCATCAAAACAAAAAAATTTATATCAGGTTTGTTTGATGTTCTATCAGTCCTGAAAGTTTCATCAAAATCGAACGAGCCGTTTTCGAGAAATCGTGCACACAAAATCGGTAAGAAAAAAAAACAATAATAATAATAACTAGATACGATCTCGTTGCGAGCAACGAGTGGGTCTTCCGTCCAATTCTTGATGAGATGAGATAAGATTTTGATTGCGATTTTCATTCTAAAATAATGATTTACCACAATCTGTAAAAAGACATTGAACATTAAGGACTTTAATAAATTGGCTGTTTGCCCCTTACGCCCCCTAATGTTAGGAATCAGACCTTTTTATTCAAATCATCTTAAAGCTCTTAAGATTTTGAACATTTTGTGTTCAACAACTATTCAGAAATTCTTTTTCGTTTTTGAGATATTAGCAAAAGAAATATTTAGGGGCCAACCCTTCAACTCCTTAATGGGGACGTTAAGCAAAAAATAAAAGGTTGAATATTGTTCTGAACATTATTTTGAACATCTTTTGTTCAGTATTACTTATCAAAATATTTCTCCCTTTCGAGCTATAAAGCATCAAAGATTTAGCATTCTTGCCCCTTGTGGCCCCTAATTATGTACCATGCGACATGAAAATCATAATATATAGTTGTAGATGGTTAAGATAAACATCTTTGCTTCAGTAATATATTACAAAATATAAACTGATAAAGAGTTATCGATTTAAGACTTTTGGCCCCTCTTGGCCCCTAATTTGAGTGCCCAGCCCCTTTTTGTTGAGAAATTCTTTTTTGTTTTTCAGCTATTAGCAAAAGAAATATTTAGGGGCTGACCCTTCAACTCCTTAATGGGGACGTTTAGCAAAAAATGAAAGGTTGCATATTGTTCAGAACATTATTTTGAACATCTTTTGTTCAATATTGCTTATCAAAATATTTCTCCTTTTCGAGATATAAAGCATCAAAGATTTAGCATTCCGGCCCCTTGTGGCCCCTAATTATATACCATACGACATGAAAATCGTAATATGTAGTTGAAGATTGTTGAGATAAACATGTTTGCTTCAGTAATGTATAACAAAATATTGACTTCTAAAAAGTTATTGAAGAAAGACTTTTGGCCCCTTTCAGTCCTTAATGTGATGAGTCAGCACTTTTTTCTTGATATCATATGAAAGATCTTGTTGTTCTGCACAAATATTGTTCAATATGTTTTGACAAAATAGTTATACTTTAAACGATACAAAGCAAAATGTCTCAAAAATCAGTAATGATTCGTGTCCTAAATTTTGACCCCTACCGAGCTTCCATACTAGGCACTTCCGGATGATTTGAAAGTATAGGTACAAAACTACAAGGTGTCAACTATATTCGCTGAAAATTTCGGCACTCTAACTTTTGCCGTTTTTGAGTTTTTGTCCGGACAAAATGGTCACTAAAATGCGATTAAAGGGCGATAATTCCCGACCGGAAGTGAATTTTCAAAAATTAAGAAAAATGTATCAAGTTCAGATCATGATACATCATCCCTGAAAATTTCATATAAATCCGTCCAAGCATCTCTGAGAAATCGTCTGCACAAAAATAAGGACAGAAAAAAATAATAATAATAAAAGTGAAAAAGAAACAATAGAATAATTAAAGGGTCTTCCATTGGAGACGGAAGACCCTAACAAGCCATAGGAGAAAGAGAGAGATATGTGTCACATCAGCACATGTAGCTCTATCATCACTGAAAATATTATGTTTCTGTCTAAAAGCAATTTTGAGAAAAATACTGGTCAATGTGACCCTATGGAAATCACTAAATCACAGAAATCTACACTAAAGAATGCTCTGTGCCAAGTATAACTTAACTTTGTCCAGTTGTTCTGAGAAGGAAATGAAATTCTGAAGAATTTAAGATACAGATGATAATGGGTGAATTTTCAAAATTTTACTACAGCTTTAGCTCATATGAGCTAAACTGTAAACAGATTTTGTGCTTTGTTGACTTTGAAATGTGACTGGACATCTCTTTGATCTTGTGTTTGAAATAACATGTCCTTTGTTCTGAATCATGCACATTTGTTAATGCTTTAGTTGTTTATGCCAAGATAGCAATGTTCCTTCAATTATACTGTAAAAATACACATATTAGATCTTATATATTGCCACTGAAGACAGACCTCTATCATCTTTACCATTAGAATTGGTATGTCTTCCCTTGGAAGCGGAAGACCTCAATACAGATGTAAACATGCAAGATCTGACAAATATTTAAAAGAACATTTATTCCAAATTAAACATATTAGATTTTGCAACAAAATCTATTTATCTTGAAAAACTGAAAGCAATTGATATAATCATATTTTTGGATTTATGTCTGTTTCTCAAATCAAAATTTAAATATGATATATTTAAAATCATCTTCTTAAACTGAGACTTGATTCAGTTGATTGTTTCAATTTCATTCTGCTGTTTATTCTTTGTCATCTCCCAAAAGAGGCTCTTCTGGCAAATCATGATCATGCTTGGCATCAAATTTCAGTACTCAGATGACAGTCACACCTATCAAAAGAAATTGATTTTTTTTAAAGTACAACTTATCAGATAAGATAAACCATCAAACTTAGTTATAAGATATTGTTATACCTTTAAAAAATTGTTCCTATAAAAATCTATACAGAAAAAAGTCTAACATTTTTAATGTTTTGCTGAGCGGGCATAAAAAAATCGATGTTGGACCGCCCGGAGAGATGTTGGACTGCTTACGTCACAGAATGGGCGGAGCTTAATCTCATTTTCATTCTTTGGTTTTAAACAATGACAGATCTAATGTTACATTACGGAATATAGTACAAAATACATGTATGTCAAAAAATACATAATAAAATGAAAGGTATAACAAAACATTTATTGACAGAGTTCTCGGGCAAAATGCGTTTTGTCGGACCCTCGAACCAAACTGTCTGCCTTCGGCCTAACGGCCTCGGGCAGACAGTTTGGTTCTTTGGTCCGACAAAACGCATGTTGCCCTCGAACTCAGTCAATAAATGTATACTGTCACGTTTCTGCATGTGTATTATTTGTAAAACTACTCTATAATCATTTATAAATTTAGGTTTACAGGCAGTCATTTGAGGATGTAATAAATAACATATTAGTTTTTCATGATTTCAAATAAAGGGTATGTACATAACTTGTTCATGTCAAAATTTATAAGGAATGGTAATGGTTAACAGTTGTTAACCGACTAATCAGTCAGAAAGATGGTATCTGGTTATGATTTTTTATGTGTCAGGATAAGGCCATTCATAAAGGTGTTACAGCACATTAGGAACAATGCACTAATGAAGTGACAAAACAGCATCCAGAAGAAACAATGAGCTAGCACAAAGTAACAATGCTGCTCTAGCTCATTTAAAACACCATGCTACTAAGTTTATGACAGCATGCTAATTGTTTAAGACACTTACATGCTAGCGTGAAGTAAAAATGTGCTATCACGCTTATGAGAATGGGCTAGTGTGCTTATGACAACACGGTGACAATGTGCTTAGTGCGTTTGTAATAAAGTTTCATCAGGCTGTTTACACTACGCCGTCAAGCTTACACATAAGGCCAAAATAAAATATAATCTTGTTTCCTGTCCCCTGACCAAAAAAATTAGGGTCGGTAGGTAGGGAAAAAATTTTATTTTGAGAAAAAATTTTATTTTCAAAATTTAATGAATGCAGAAAATAAAGCAGGTAATAAATGTAATAACAAGAAAATGATATGTTAACAGTTTCAAAGCAAGTTTGTTAATCAAGATTTATAAAGTAAAGGTAACCTGTACACTTGTGATGTATTAATTCTGTAAATATCATTGGTCAACTTCAGTATTTTAGAAAAATAGTTATCCAAAAAATGAAAATGTAATAAAAACTTTTAGGGTCGGAGGGTAAAATGTAGGGTAGGTCGGGTGACAGGAAACAGGAGTATTTTTTATTTTGGCCTAATAGATTGTGTAAAGTTGTATTAGGCCATTCCAAGTTTTTTCTCTGTTTAGCGTCCACCCATCTTTCAAAAACCTACCAATCTATTCGCAAAAAAAACAACACAGAAGCCAAATAAAACACAGGATTAAAATGATTTTCAATGATTTGATCTAATTAAACTACTTTAATAGAAGAAATGTCTATTCTTAAGCATAAACAAGGGAATAAATGCTTACAATACACCAAATATAACTTACTGTACAGAATTATTTGGAGAAATTGACAAATTCAACAATTTTGCCTAAATTAATCAATTTCAGGACTCCTGATGTTGTGTGTTTGTTCTAACATGGGGTGTCAAAAACCAAGGCGCACACGGACGCTAAACATAGAAAAAGCTTGGAATGGCCTTAGCATGGCAGCATGTTGAGCATCAGCACAACTGCATGTTGTTCTAAGCTGCCTTAGCCTAACAGTGTTGAGAACACTGTGTTAGCACATTGTTCCTAACACACACTTTAACAAATTGCCTTATCAGGACACCACTTAGTTTTCCATATATATTTTAAAAAGACTGGGAATAAAATTCAATTTTCGATAAGCTTCTTTTCATTATAAGTGTTTGCCTAAGCGTTTTTTACTATATAACCCAAATACATCATTGTCTGTTATGGTAGCCTAGTGGTAGGGCAATCGATACGTATAATCATGAAGCTGGGCTTGATTTTAATTTACTGCATCAAACCTAAGACAAAAACATGTATGCAGTTATGTTCCCTAACCATGCACCCAACATTTGTAGTGAATAAGAGCCTAAAAACCTCACAGTAGATGTTAGGATAATGACCTTGAGTTCCAAGTAAAGGTCCATATTGAAGCTATTCACCAGTATATATTAAATGAGTGAATGAGTGAGATTCTCATGATAACATTATCAATCAAAGTATCAATAAGAAGCTGATACTTACTGCTAAATGCTAGAGACAGGTTACTCCAAAGAGACTGTATAAACCGAGATTCTGTGTCACAGTAGGTGTGGGTGTTGGCACGAAAAGGATCCCTTACTTCTCAAAGGCAATAAGTGCTGAGTACAAGTCTATATTTGCAGCTTACTATCCCAAGTGGTGGCATCATAAAATGACTGAAAAATTTTCAATAGACTAATTAACAAACAAACCATTTCTGCAGCCTTATCACAAAAAAAAAAGCAAACTCTACTATTACATTTTTTTTTTTTTACAAATTTCTTTTGCAATTTAACTAAGAAATATATATGACATAATAAAATATTGATTTAATTAACTGAGCAATATTATATTGTGTGCAATTATTTTGTCAATAAATTATACTAAATTTTTTTCTGCAGTAACTTTGGACCCACAGTGCTTTGCTTCTTTGAGCTACATTCAAGCTTTAAAGTGGTATTATAGGCCAAACTTACACTACGACGTCATGTGACTTTAGAGTCTAGTGCCCTGTTCAGACGGAGAGTTTAATTCGCAGTAAATTATTGCGAAGTAAACTAAATTAAATGCAAATCAAACTAATGCGAATCAAACTGTGTTCACATGACAGCTAATTATAATGCAAAGTAACCAAATCGAATAAAAATTTTACTTTGACAGTCATGCAGGCTTCAGTTAGGCTTTTATGACATCATTTACAAATCATGTCACCTTAGGCGTAAACAGATGTATTTGACATAATGTCACAGTGTCTGTTTTCACATTTTAGTTATTAACACTATATTTTCCTTAGTTTTTCACTCAAAAATAGCACAAGTACTTAAAGCTGACCACTAACATGTAGCATTTGACTTAATTTTGCCATTTCACATGCCTCAAAATTTAATTGGAATTAGCTTACCTTAGTCATGTTAGTGTTCACAAGGAGCTAATGCAAAGTAATTTAATGCGCAGTAAATTAATTCGAATTAAAATAATTTGAATTGAACTCAGTCCATGTGAACATGCATCGATGCACCAAATGTCTAGTGCGGTTTGACAAGCCTGATCTAAATTAAAAGTGAATAAGTATCTGCCCTTACCATGCTTATCGTACCCTAACATCACACCCGTCAACATATTTTTAGTTGAAAAACATTTTGTTTTGAACATGTTGAAAGCAAGTCTTGTTGAAATTACATGCTCACACATATTTAAATAAAATTTAAAGCTGTGGGGATTTTAAAAGGCTAACTGAGAGCGTCTGAATTGTAAAACAGTTAATATATCGCTGTGTCTGTGTATTTCTAAAAATATCGACAGCTGATAAATGCTCTAAGCTGCCATAGTAATATAATGTAAATTTTAGGTAAACAAAAATCTTACCTTCGAATTCATTCCCATGGTCCACGCCAATCATAAATTAAAATGTAACCGTCAGCTCTTTAATCATTCGATACAATTATCACTGGGGAATCCGAAACAGAGTCAAGAGTGTTCATCCTTGTTTATTACTGTGACAGTCGGAATTTCCTCGTAAACAATTCACACAAGAATATATAAATCGGATAAGTTTGCTTAGAATAATACTCCAGAGGATTGATAAAGTACTTTGAGCTGCAGATAAAATGTCCGTGCATGTTTACATACGGCTTGTATGGTGAGAAAATCCTCAACTTCACTTTGTAAACATGATCAACATGTGTCCGATTTGCCGATTTCGATGGGACACACTGAAACCCGGATGTACTAAAGACCTGAAATTACCCGATGTTTTTATTTTAAATTAAATGATAATATTGAGTACTTAAAATGTCTTATTTTAAAGACCTTTGACTATGATGCATTATGTTATACAAGAATTCATTTGTTTGGAATATTACTGATAATTTTCAATCAGGTCAAATCAGGATTTTAGCATATCAAGTCTTTAGTACCCTCCCGTTTCCCACAATGCCGCGCGTTGTTTACACCTATACAAATGCAGAAAAAACCCATTTTGATTTCACCTTTTGTTGTGTACATACATCACATTTTAAATTACTTGCATAAAAAGAAAACAGAGAAACACCGAATCAACACTATATCTTAATTACTGATGCATCAACTAAAACCAGGGACCTATGTTAGTGTATAGGTCCTTGCTAAAACTGTGCGTTAGTGGCACTGTAAAGGCTTGGCTGGCTACAGTAGCTAGACAACTTGTCCATGTAAGGTTTCCCACATATTTGTTTTATAAAAAACAAATATAGTTTGGAGTTTGTTTATCTTTATACCAAATGACAGGGTTTTTCATCAATTCGAAATAATTTCAGATAAAATTTTTCATAGTATAACTGTTACCATTAAAAAATTAATATTTTTAGCTCTCAGAAAAAAAAAAACGTTTATGATCTATTTACCCCTGGCCTAATTATAGGGGCCAGCCCCTTTTCCTTAATCTTATATGAAAGCTCTCATAATTACGCACAACTTTTGTTGTATATTTCTTGCCAAACTATTCTCGGTGCAAAAGTAATTACGCGTTTTGACTGGAAGTGACGTCATTTGACGACTTTTGAGAATTCCGGCATTATTTCCGGTTGACATCACAGTCAGCAAGTCAGAAAAAAATTGAAAAACTCAAATTCAATCGTTTTATTTGATTTATTTTGATTCAAAGGAAAAACTTTGAATTTTCGACTACTTCCGGTTTTTACCGGAAGTACTTCTGATGGATGCTTTTTGTTGAGGATTGTGAATAAAAATATATGTTCTATTTGCCTTTAATCAATCCCGTTAAATTTTTCAAAAAATCTTAAAATTAAACATCCCTTCCTGTGTCGACCGGAAGTGACGGATGCGAAATTAAAAGACGTCATGCATAACTCAATAAGATGTTTTATAATCCCTGAAAATATCATGATTCAATCTTGGGTGGTTTACAAGAAGATGCTTGGACAAAATGACAACTTAAAAAAAGAAAATCGGACAAAAAATGCGACCGGAAGTGATTTTCAAAAAAATGAAAAAAGGTCTGGAGATATTACAACAATGCATCATTCCTGAAAAAATCTTTGAAATCGGTTCAGTAGTTTCGGAGAAATCACGTGTACTATGAAAAGGGAAAAATAATAATAATAGGAAACATAAGAAAAACAGTAAGGTCTTCCGAAGGAAGTCGGAAGACCTTAATAATAAAAATAGTGGAAAAAAAACCTAAGAATAACAAGAAGGTCTTCCGCTGAAGACGGAAGACCTTAATAAGAAACAGAGTAAAAACAATATGTTCCCCAACTTCGTTTGGGGAACATAATAAGAAACAGAGTAAAAACAATATGTTCCCCAACTTCGTTTGGGGAACATAATTATGGGACGCCATTTCAATCAGGCGAACCCACCAAATATGAACATCAACAAGGTGCGTTTTTTTCTTACCGTCCCGGGTTAACCGCGGAGGGTCAGCACACATACACACTGTTCAAATCAATCAATCAAATCAATCAATCAATAAGTCATATCTCCAATTCCAAATATCAAACATATCAACTTATTTTATCAAATCTTGTATATCATATATCATCAATATCTCAAACTTTATAGATCAAACATCTCAAACTTCAAATATCAACATTTTTCATATTTCAAATCTGTACGATGTAGTACAGCTCTAAAGTATATATTACTGTTACCAAGAGTAAGCTTATTAGCTTAGTTTACACTAGCATTAACATTTCAACAAGGTGACAGTTTATTATACAAACATTAAGTTATCAGTTGACTTGATGTACGCAGACGCTTCACACTAATGACTTCTCCTTGAAAAAGTGTTACGACGGTTTCTTTTAGTTCAAACTATCAATCCTATAATCGACTACAGTGGAGCCTCATTTATCCGGACGCTTTGGTTCCCAATAAATTTGTCCGGATATGTGAAGCTTCCGGATATCTGAATTACCAGTTAAACAAGACAAAATAACATTAAGGAATTCCGTTCCAATGAAAAATCGTCCGGATACTGAAGCATCCGGATATCTGGCGTCCGGATATCTGAAGGTCCACTGTACATGCTACCGAATCGATTTTATAAACGATAGTAAGTTTTACAATTTTGAAACACTATTTGGTACGCATATTGCACAGAGACAGTTTGATGCAATGTGTAGCACAATACTATAAGCTGGCAATGGACTTTATGTGGGCTTCATGTGGTAGATTCTTCACCTTAGACAGCACCAGGATATTTTTTCTATGGGTATAAGGTATTCCTCTCGGACGGGCAGATCAAAGCTGTTTCACTGCAAAATAAAGCAAAACACCAAGCAGCAGAATATCATTCTTTACTTAGAGAAAATGGAATATACTAAAAAAAAGTAGTGAGATGGAGGTTTTTTAAATTTACAAAACAACACTTCATGTATTTTTATGCAAGCAATTGATATGCGTCTTTACCTTTGAAAGGTTCAGGAGAAAGGAATGTGAAGAACAAACCCGACCTTTTATATACAACACTTGATGTGTCAACCAAACCCGACCCTTAAAAGCCAACGTTCAAATAACAAATACTTGTGACCAAAGGCACCTGACGTTACTTATTTTTCTTTTAATAAAAAAAATATACCCTTACCTTATAATAAACCAAGGTCCCCAACGGCGCCATCTTGAATTTTTCTAGGTCTGCCACATCCACTTGTATTTTCGTCTAAAACTCCGTCAAATAAATTCTCTGCAACCATCTTCTTTCTGTGGCCAGTCTTCCGGTCCCCCTTTGGCGATTTCTCGGATTGTTGAAGCAGTAGATCGAGTTTGACGAGGGATTTTTAATATTTGCAAGTGTGATGCGCCCTTCTGGCTGCAGTGTCCGTAAGTTTAGACCTCGAAAGACTAGCCACAGAAAGAATATGGTTGCAGAGAATTTATTTGACGGAGTTTTAGATAAATTCAAGATGCAGACCTAGATAAATTCAAGATGGTTTATTATAAGGTAAGGGTATTTTTTTTATTAAAAGAAAAATAAGTAACGTCAGGTGCCTGTGCTTGGGACCTATGAAATAGTATATAGATCCCTTCAAATATACTTTTCTCGTAAAATAAAGGCATCTATTTTGTAAACACAAATAGATGCTATTATATAAATTGTATTTTAGAGGAACTTGGATTTAATTCTACAAGTGGTAATCCTACTTAAACTCATATTTCCCTTTCTAAGAAAGAAATTCTTCAAAATCATAATATGTCAGTTTTAAATATTTTTAATATTCCACAAAGCCAAAATGAATTTGAACTAACCTATATATATTTGATTACGAAACTTCAGGGTTAGGTTTTTAGATTTAAAAAATGCTTACAAACAAAGATACATTGTGGGTTCCTGTAAATGTTCAACCAAGCCTCTTTCGTTACTCCTCGTCGCCCGCGTGGCGCAGTGGTTAGAGCGTCTGCTCTAGAGTCGCGAAGTAAGGAGTCAATCCTTAAGTCGCGGGTTCGAATCCGACTGTGGGACGTGGAGACCGGTCCTTCGGATGAGACCGTATAAACCGAGTTCCCATGTCACAGTAGGTGCTGGCACGAAAAAGATCCCTCGCTGCTCAATGGCCTTGAATGCCAAGCATAGGGGAAAAATGCAGCTCTTCGCCGGCAAGTGATGGCGTCTCCATATGAATGCAAAATTCTCGAGAGGGACGTTAAACAATATGCAATCAATCAATCAATCAATCGTTACTCCTCACTTAGATATTGACAGTGGTGAAGGAAAAACTTCAAGAGTACTGTGCAACAATATATTCAAGAAGTGGTGTAAATCAGATGTGGATGCTCAAAAATTCCAAAGAACTTTTGAACAATTTGAAATCACAAGATTTTACCAAAATGAACATCTTAAAAACTTACGATTTTTCACCTTTATACACAACCATTCCCCATGATAAATTAAAGTCCGGGCTTTTTGATATCATTGACAGCTGCTTCTTCAACAAAAAAGAACTCGTAAATTTTCATATCTGGTCATCGGTCATTTGCAAAAATATTTTGTTAAAATACATTCTGATTGCACACACAAGTACTTTGAAGTTATGCAAAGATGCTTGGGTTTGTAATTGACAGTATCTATGTGGTTTTGGAGACCAAGTATTCCAACAATCTATTGGAATTACCATGGGTACCAATTTCGCTCCGTCATTAGCAGACTTATTTTTATATTCACATGAAGCAGAGTTTGTGCAAAATCTTATGCTTGATAAAAATGAAAACTTAATATTTATATATATCGACGATGTATTGTCAATACACAATGGTAATTTCCATTCATTCGTCGATACGATGTATAACCTAATGAGCTTGAGATCAAATATACCACAGAGATTGACACATATGTTTCATACTTGGATATTTTACTTGCAAAAGATGTTAATAGTAATCTAACAACCATGCTGTATGATAAACGTGATAACTTTAACTTTTCTATCGTCAAATTCCCTTACTAAAGCATGCAATATACCTACATCACCTGCATACGATGTGTATATCTCTCAGTTGATTCGATACGCAAGAGCATGACCAACGTATGAACAATTTCTAAAACGAGGTTAATTATTGACAAGCAAGTTGATGAAACAAAAATATCAACAGATTCGTTTTAAGTCATTTCATAAGATTTATGGTCGATACAATGACCTTGTCAGCAAATTCAATTTATAATTAAGTCAAATCCTGATTGACGGTTTTCATACTTATTGTTAGTCCATTATTTATACACTGAATTGAAGACTGATTTTCCCGTTTTTTCCCGATCAAGACAAGGAGCACACGGCGGGTATGACCTGTCGGCAGGACACCTAATCCCAT